TTTGACACTGTTGATCTGACCTAGCTGTTTTCACAACAATTTAGCCAATGTTTTGACTGGAAGGCACTTTGAATCGGTGTGATGTAATGCTGAAGATGGCACATTGTGTGTCTGGGTGCCTCGGGTACAAAGCCAGGCCTATATTTACCAGCGCTGTGATAGTGTGCAACTACTTAGCTGTGCACAACTTCTTCAATTGTTCACTAACTTCTGTAATAGTGCTTCTCATCTGACTGTGGTGAGGCATAAAAGACATAAGGCATTGAAACCTTTAGCTCTGGTCTGATGTTTACTTACGTTCCACAGCAAATAAGTATGACAGAATGAATGTCAGCCATTTTAGAAGATTCATTATTAGATTTTGAGGGGCCCAAATGTGCAAACGCTTTAAACAGTTATTACTGTTTAACATGCAGTGGACATACCTGCCCTTTAGCCTCTCTCCCGCTGCACTTTGAGCAGCTTGCCCTGAAGCTCAGGGGTGAGGGAAGCTGAGGGATAGGAGAAGGAGCAGGGATAGGTGAGTATGTGTACATTTCTTGGCGCTGAAAAAGAGCTGCAAACTTTAATAGTTGTTTTTTTTATGCCATGTCAATCTCTCCGTGGGGCCCAAATTCCCATGTTAAACAACCCATCAAAATCTCAGGTGCCGTCTGTATTAGGAGCCTCACAGTGCTGTGGGCATTAGTCCTGCTGCTGTCAAGGGGGCATTCCCTCTGCGTAGAATAAGCCTGGGTACCACATGCCTCCCAGCTAGTCTGCTCTCCTTATCCCTCCCTCCCTGGATTTTGCCAGCAATCTCAGGAGAGTGCCTCATTTCCTAACCTAATTAGAAAGCCAGTCCTCCCCTGACCTCATGTTGTTTGACTTGTGCTCTAACCATTGCCAGGTCTTTTCTCTGAGGGCTGGACCCTGTACCCCAATCCTTTAGTCACTGTGTTCCCCCACCCCACCCAACCCTCAACCCTGGGTTGCACTCATCAATTTAGTGTTTCCTGACCTGACCCAGAGTTTTGTCATGTTTGACCTTTCTGAATGCTGGGCTGCATTCCCCAGATGGGGCCTCCGGGATTTCAATACAGAAAGTGTTAACTCCTAAACTTTCCTCCCTACTTCAATGTTGTTGGGATTACTGGTCACCATTTCCCCACACCCAGTATAAGGACCAGCCATAAAGCAGGACCAGGGCCCGTAACACTAGCTGCATCTAATTCCACCCCCAGAATCTTCCTGTATCCTTGGAATAGGAATACCAAGTTCTTCACAGATCCCACACACCTCAGTGTTATTGTCCTAAAATATAACTGTGGTTCTAGTACTCATCAGGAACTTTCAGATATTGCCTATGGACTATAAAGGAAAATCCAACTTCTTTAGCCTTCCAACACTCCAAGCTCATCTATTAATATTTTCATCGCCATCCTGTGCTTTGGCTAAACCTATAGGCAATTTTCAGACCTCCCTGCCTCTGCTCCGCTATTTCTGATGCTTGGTTTACCCTAACTTCCCTTTTCTTCCTACAAAAAGCCAACTCATTCTTTTATGCTCAAATGCCATCTCTGTCTTGGAATTTCTCCAGTGCTTTCAATGAAAATCGATAACTCCTCAGACTTAAACTTCTAATTTAACACCCATTTCATCTGATCTGATACTCTGATTAGTCCCACAGTGACCATCTCCTCAGATTATAAATTCCTTGGGAGTAGGGATCTGGTCCTTTGGTGTACACTTTCCTTGCCTGTGGAATGCATGAGTGAGCATGTGTTTTCAAGAAGAAGTAAGGTACTTCTGTCATATACATTATTATATCTAGACATGTCATAGGAAACTGATTTGATTGATTATCAACTTTCCCTATCTAATCCCTACATTTTCCTCAGTGCTTCTCAGTAATTCTTTTTATCTTAATGATTCTTTCTTATATTCACTATGACATTTCTTCCATATTTTTGTCACATTCCGAAGCCACATTTTTTCCTATATCCAAGGAAATGTGACATAGCCTATTATTTATATACTAGTGGCCTGGTGCACAAAGTTCGTGCACATTAAAAGAGAATTAATGATAAGAAATATTTTAATATTGCTATTTGCCCTTTCTCTATAATAGAGGTGTCAGAGATGAAAGAAAATTAGTAAAATGTATATAAAATCTCCCTCCTGTCAGAGTCTGGGGTGTGCCAGGAGACCTAGAGTCAAGTCCCCGCCCACCATCCTCACGCACTTCTAAAACGCAGGAGACCCAGACCCGGCCGGCCCCACCCCCATTGGGTGAGACCTAGACCCAGCCTGCCCCACCCCCATAAGCCCCTCCAGGCAGTGGGCACAGCCTCAGGTCCCCCGGCCCAGCGCCGGGGTGAGGGTGCTGCCTGAGGTCGCCTGTCAAGCCCTGCCTGGCTGGGGCCATGGCCTGAGGTCCCCCCTCAAGTCCCACCAGGTGAGGTCATGGCCTGAGGTCCCCGTGAAGCCCCGCTGTGCAGGGGGTTTGCGGCCTGAGGTCCCCTGGCCCGGCGCTGGGGCAGGGAGGCACAGTCTGAGGTCTTCTGGCTTGGCATTGGAGTGGGGGGCATGGTTTGAGGTCTCCTGTCCTGGAGCTGGGGAAGGGGCATGGCTTGAGGTACCCTGTCAAGCCCCACCAGGCAAGGGGCGCAGCCTGAGTTCCTCCGTCAAGACCCACTAGGTGGGGGGCAAAGCATGAGTTCGCCCGTCCCGGCACTGGGCTGGGGTGCAGTCTGAGGTCTCCTGGCCCTGAGACGGGGCAGAGGTCCCCCATCAAGCCCCGCCAAGTGAGGGACATGGCCTGAGTTATCCCGTCAAGACCCACTGGGTGGGGGGTGTGGCCTGAGGTACTCGTCAAGACCTGCGGGCAGGGGCATGGCCTGAGGTCCCCCAGCCCAGTGCCAGGGTGGGGTCACAGTCTGAGGTCTCCCAACCCCGCATCCGGGTGGGGAGCGCAGTATGAGGTCTCCCGGGCCAGAGCTGGGGCGGGTGTGTGGCTGAGGTCCCCCGTCAAGCGATACAGGGTGCAGCCGTGGTTTTAGTTCCCCCATCAAGCCCAGGGCCCCCCTCCCTCCCCCCACAGCATCATTCCAGTGCTGAACAGGGATCATGCAGGCAGTGTGATGTTAGCGCTGGGGGTAGAATTCCCGCCCCTAGCCCTGGTCACAGACTGGGACACCTTAATGGAGAAATTAGCATATTACCTCTTTATTATATAGATTAGAGTCCCAGTGTATGAAATTCGTGCATGGGTAGGGTCCCTAGCAGTGGCTGGCCGCCGACCAGGTCCTTCCTTCGTTCTGCACAGCCTCCTGGTGGTCAGCACATGTCAGAGCAAGCAATGGAACTCCCAGTTGGTCAAACTCCCGAGGGGACACTTTGCATATTAGGCTTTTATCTATATAGATACTGTGTGTATGTGTTTCTCTTCTACTAACAAAATATTTTAAAACCTTACTCCAGCTTACTTTTTATTCTTCAGCTTCAGAATAATAAAACTCTCCTTCTTTATAAACTTTTATTTATTCAAATAATATTAGAACTACAGGAAAGTTGTAAAAATAATATAGAGTTCACATATGCCATATACCCAGCAAGCCTCCTCTGATGGTGTTATTTTACAGAATTAGTATCATTATAAAACTAGAACATTATTATTTGTCCAATGTTCTTAACAATACTACAGCCCTTATTTCAATTTTACAACATTTCCTAGTGTTGTTGTTTTTTTTTTCCTGTTCCATGACTCAATTCAAAATCTCACCTGGCATATAGTAATTGTGCTTCCTTGTGTTATGTTCTTCAATATCAATCTTTTTTAATCTGTGATCGTTTATCAGTCTTTCCACACACATCAAGACCTTGACACATTTTCTGAGACAGGTATTTTGTATAATCACTCTCAGTTTGGATTTGTCTGTTATTTTCTCATAGTTTCATTGAAGTTATGCATTTTTAAACAAGATTTTTTTAAAACATATTTTATTGATTTTTTACAGAGAGGAAGGGAGAGGGATAGAGGGTTAGAAACATCGATGAGAGAGAAACATCGATCAGCTTTTTCTTGCACAACCCCTACTGGGCATGTGCCTGCAACCAAGGTACATGCCCTTGACCAGAATCGAACCTGGGACCTTTCAGTCCGCAGGCCGACGCTCTATCCCCTGAGCCAAACCGGTTAGGGCGAGGTTATGCATTTTTAGCAGTGACGCCATATGTGATGTTGAAAGCTTTTCCTCTAAAATCAGGAAGACAAGGATGCTCACTCTCACTATTTTATTCAACATAGTATTATAGGTCCCAGTCAGAACATTTATGCAAGAAAAAGAATGCAGATGACATGATTGTTCATATAGGAAAACCTAGATGCTCCACCCCCCAAAAATGTTAGAAATAATAAATAAATTTAGTAAAGTTGCAGGATATAGAATCAATATACAAAAATCACTTGCATTTCTTTATGCTATCAATGGACTACCAGGAAGAGAAAATAAGGAAACAGCCCCATTTACAACTGAATCAAAAGGAATAAAACACATAGGAAATTGCCCTAACCGGTTTGGCTCAATGGATAGAGCGTCGGCCTGCGGACTGAAGGGTCCCGGGTTCGATTCCGGTCAAGGGCATGTACCTTGGTTGTGGGCACATCCCCAGTAGGGGGTGTGCAGGAGGCAGCTGATCCATGTTTCTCTCTCATCGATGTTTCTGACTCTCTATCCCTCTCCCTTCCTCTCTGTAAAAAATCAATAAAATATATTTAAAAAAAAAACAAAAAAAAACACATAGGAATAAATTTAATTAAGGAGGTGAAAGTCCTGTACACTGAAAACTATAAGATATTGACTAGAGAAGTGATACAAACTAATTCTATCATTATTTTGTTGCACAAATTGTTTCAGTTTGGAGCATTAGGAGCTTTTCAGTTGGCTGCTTGGTGTTTCAACATAGCCCCATCACTTTTTGAGCAATTCCTTTTTTTCTGCCACCATAATATATTCCATTCTTCTGGTATTTTTCTCTGCCTTGTCCCTAAAATCAATGACTTCTCCAATAACACTTATTTATTTTATTGTAGGATAGTCTTTAGAAATACTTAGATCTGGTACCCGTACTAGAAATGGGAGCCAACCTGGGAAGTTATATTACCAGAAATCTTGTTTAGAATATCAGAAAAGACTTTGCAGCAAAATCACATTTCAGATGACACTTGAAGAATAAGTGAGTGTTATTAGACAAAAAGCAGTAGGAATAAGAGTTTCCTACAAAAAAGAGAAGAGGTTCTGTAGAGGCCCTGAGACATTTGAGAAGCTGAAGAATTAGTAAAACAGAAGAGTTTTTTTAAATTATTTTTTCTTGAGGTCACATTGGTTAATAACGTTATCTAAATTTAAGGTGTACAATAGTATAATTTGATGTCTGTATACTCTTTTGGGTGCTCACAACCAAAAGTCTAGTTTCTATCTATTTCCATTTGTTTAACCCCATTTACCTACTTTGCCCTCTCTCCACTCTCTTTCTCCTCTGTAACCACTATTCTGTTGTCTGTATCCTTGAATTTGTTTTTATTTTGTTATATTTGTTTATCTATTACTTTTTAATATATTTTACATAGGAGTTAAATCAGACTGTTTTTGTCCTTGTCTGTCTGGCTTATTTCACTTACCATAATACCTGTAAGATCCATTCATGTTATCACAAATGACAATATTTTATCTTTAAAAAAATATATGTTTTTTATTAATTTCAGAGTGGAAGGGAGAGGGGAGAGAGAGAAACATCACTGATGAGAGAGAATCATCAATTGGCTGCTTTCTGCATGCCCCACACTGGGGGTCGAGCCTGCAACGCGGGCATATGTCCTGACTGGGTCAATACTCAACTACACAGTCATGCCAGCTGGGCCAATATGATCACATCTTCTTTATCCATTCATCCACTGATGGACACCTAAGGTTGCTTCCATATCCTGGCTATTGTAAGTAATGCTGCAATTAACATTGGCGTGCATATATCTTTTTGAATTAGCGTTTTCATGTTCTTCAGATAAATACCCAGAAGAGGAAGTGCTGGATCATATCGTAGCTCTAATCTCCATTTGTTGAGGAACTTCAATACTGTTTTAGAGAGGGTGAAAGGGTAGCATCTATGTACCAGGGCTGGAGAGTTGGGACAGGTTTCCCTTTCTACAGAAGAGTAGCCTGTGCAGGACAGGAGAAACTGAACAACCTCAGTGTCCTTGGGGAAGGCATGTGATAAGGTCACCACAAACATCCACAGTGCTTGGCATTTCTCAGTTAACCAGGTTGTTGCATATATATCATTCATAATTAAATTAGCCTCATAATTCATTGATTAATAATTTAGTAAGGACAACTGTGTGGTTTAGCTTCAAGGTGTGAAAGATCTGGGAGAAATTGAGTGAGTTGCCCAAAGTAAAAACAGTAAAAACGCAAAAAGACACAGTAAGGAACTTATTTAAATTAATTATTTTCTAGAGTTTTTCCAGCAGATGATTTATTACACAGGACGCAACAGACATGTGCCAATGCTAAAACTCTGGCTTGGCAACAGTACCAGTAATGGCCATGTTTAAGGCCGAAACTATAGAGGTGAGTTGATGGTGACTGTGGTCAATGTTTCACTATATATATGATGGTGTGAGAATCTTATCAGAATAAACAGGAAATAAATGTCCTTATATTTAATTGAATTCAATATAATGAGCATTCCATTAAATATTTAAGGCGGTGAAGGTGCCATTTAATGCTTTCCAGATATAGTCTGAGTTCTGGGAAGAGTAGCAGCTTCTACATGTCTATACACATTTGGTATCAAGTAATATATTTGTCCTCCTTTTTTGGGAAGTATTCAATTGAACAGAACCATAAATAGATTAATCTACAAGGTGAGCTCTTATCATCTCCCAGGCACTGTTTTAAGATTGCAAAAATATAAGACTAATAAAATTTAAGTGTTTCCCTTAAGAGGCTCAGAGTATCCATTATACTTTTATGATTTCAAGTTAATTTTTTAAAAGAGAACACTAATCTGATATTGATGGGGAAGATGTTGTTAATTCACGCTATTGAAATTAGTCCTAAGAATTGTTTACCTTTCTTTTACTTATTATCATGACATTGTTTGTATTATCTAATGGTTTGATGACAAAGGCTTTGTGTCAGGAAGTAAAAATGGGAAAAACAGACTTTCTCTTCATGGAGAAAAATTAACAGCAAAATTTTCTAGGGTTGTTGGGCTTAGATACATCTTTCTTCCTCATTGTGGTAAAACTGTTAGAGTGTCTCTGGTACCACACTGAAGAATCTACTGGTCCAGAGGAGATAGCGAGAGGGCCACAGGTGGGATTTCAGCCATTGCTGGCCTAGTGTAAGTGGGCTTAGTACATGTGGATAGAGATCTGTCCAAAGTAGGGAACTGCAGCAAGATCCTGAGAAGCATTTTTTGCATATGCTCATCCCTTCTGCTTTACTTTGGCTCCAGGCAACCTAATTATACCCATGGTTCCCAATGCTACTTATATCCTGGAGACATTCAAATGTGAACCTAGTATAAGCCTTAATCCTGAAATTCATACCTGCTTTCAAACTATGTCAACATGAATGCCTCCAAATCAACATACCTGATAATGAACTTGTGATTTCCATCTCCCTAAATGTGGTCATCCTTTGCTTCACCCACCTTCTCTTCCCTCACTCCTACCCTCAATAAACAACTTATCTGATGGCTTGATGACAAAGAATTTGGGTCAGGAAGTAAAAATGGGATAAAAAGAACTTCAAAATTAACAGCAGAATTTCCTAGGGTTGTTGGGCTTGGATACATATTTCTTACTCATTGTGGTAAAACTCTTAGAGTGTGTCTGGTACCACACTGCCTAATCTTCTGGTCCGAAGGAGATAGCGAGAGGGCCACATGTGAGATTTCAGCCATTGCTGGCCTAGTATAAGTGGGCTTAGTACATGTGGATAGAGATCTGTCCAAAGTAGGGAACTGCAGCAAGATCCTGAGAGGCATTTTTTGCATATGCTCATCCCTTCTGCTTTACTTTGGCTCCAGGCAACCTAATTATACCCATGGTTCCCAATGCTACTTATATCCTGGAGACATTCACATGTGAACCTAGTATAAGCCTTAATCCTGAGCTTCATACCTGCTTTCAGACTATGTCAACATGAATGCCTCCCAAATCAACTACCTGATAATGAACTTGTGATTTCCATCTCCCTAAATGTGGTCATCCTTTGCTTCACCCACTTTCTCTTCCCTCACTCCTACCCTCAATAAACAACTCCACTTGATTCCTAATTCATGGCAGGAGTCAGGGAATTATCTTGGACATTTTTCTTTCAGTCAACTCCAGCTAGTCTCCAAGAGTTGGAGATAGTTTTATGCTCCAAACTCCAACTGCATTTCTTTGAGTCATAGTAATGAAAATGAACCACAAAAAAGTAATTGTTATGAAATGTTACTTTGGAAAGTAGTTGTATTCTAGCCCAGTATTCTTATAATTAAGGTTGCGTTCATATCTCTGTCTCTCATTTTTCTTTTCTCTCTTTCTAAGGCAATTTTAACTAGCTCAAAGCAAATTGACAAGTCTTATCTGTACACATTCCTACAACCATGGCTTGGCCTAGGACTTCTTACCAGGTAAATCAGTGTAAATTGGTAAAGCTGTCTTGTGTGTAACTTATGTCAGGCATCAACATGGGGTAGTTTTCCTATAGCAAGAATGTGCTGTCGAGTAGTCGGGAGAAGCTGAAAAGGTTGGGTGATAATGGGCCTGTGAGAGACAGGAACCCAGGGTGTAGAGTAATCTCCAGCCATGGTATTCAATAATGATGATCACCAGTGTTCCAAGGAGAGTTAGAA